CGGCCCTTCCCGCTTCTCGGCCGGCCGGTTGCGGATGGCGCCTCTCCGGACCTGTGGCATCAGCACAGGGCCCGATACCTTCATAGAGCGGTTTAGGTTGGAAGGGAACTTAACGATCATCTAGTTCCAGCCCCTCTGCCATGGGCAGGGACTCCTTCCTTCAGTCAGAACTTGTCAGCGTGCAGCTGCAGGGAGGAGAAAACTGGGACGGAGGCGGCTGAGAGGTGTGCAGCAAAGGCAGCCCGGGCGAGGACGGGCAGCGCCGTCCGTGGTGCTCCCCGTGAGCCTTCAGGGGAGACCGCCCTGCCTTTTCCCCGGCGTTAAGAGATGTGGGGCACAAGCTCAGAGGTGACCCCGGTGGTGGTGCTTGTGCTTGCCGGATTGTGGGACTGTTCGAGGAGGTGTTGGTGCGCGAGTACAAAAATTTTGCGTGGCATGCACTCCTGAGTGGATCGTGGGGCTGTCAAAATATGTTTCTTGCTGGTGTGTTTTTTTTTTTTTTTTTAAACTGTAGTGGTTTCCCACTGATATATGGAAGATACATTTTCTGTTGCAAAGCCCACTTTTATTCTCAGAAGACTGTGCCACACAGGGCATTGTATACCAATTTCTTTCTTAGCAGGGTAGCTGTAAATTATGAGATTAGTGATTTAATTGCACAGCAAATCAGAGAGACAGATTTATTCTGCCTTAAAGCATGCTTTCCTATATAAGCCAGGTTATTTGTAGATAACATTTTCCAGTTAATATTTGAAAGCATAAGAATGGTTTCAGTAACCAAAAATGTAACTTCTGTAATGCATTCACGTTGCAAACTAAAAGACTGCGTGGAAGCTCAGAAGTTCTCCTTAAGAGAACTTCATAATTCCCTTGCAATTATGAAGGGAAAACTATTGCAAGCACAAATGAAACTGTAAGTTTCCTTCTCTAGTTCACTAGAAAATGTCAAAATTGTACTTGCCCTCCTTGATTTTTTTAGGAAGCAAAATGCAATGTACCATCTGGAGACAAAGTGGAAGAAGCTGAACCACCCAGTGATATAGAAGAAGGAGGATTAGATCTCAGTGTGTCACTCAAACCAGTCAGCTTCTACATTGCAGACAAAAAAGAAATGCTTCAACAGTGTTTCTGTATCATAGGGGAGAAAAAACTACAGAAGATGCTGCCTGATATTTTAAAGGTACTGAAATACACTTACCTTTTACATACTTTTTATGAGCTTGAGTGTTTGTGTAAAAAAAAAAGCACATTTATCTTTCAAGTCTAGTGGACTTCCAGCTTAAAAGCTGCCTGTATATTTCTTAAGTAAGGATTGTGTCATGTCTCTGAAAATGAGACTTTGTAAAGATTTGATATAGTTATTCTAGCTTACTCCTTTTTCCACTGCTAAGCCATTGCTGAATTACAGGCTGCTTATTTTTTATATCATATGTCTGTACTGGTTAGTTAGATACAAAAAGAGTTTCATAATTGCACGGAGTAAATTCAGTAGTGTTCACTAATAAATATGCTGATTTGTTAATAAAAGTTTGATTTCTTCTTGTGTCAGCTGAATTTCTTTGTATGGTATTAAATTAATGGCTGAGATAAGGCAATAAAACCCCTTCTTGATAAACAGCTTCTGAAGCTGTAACTTCTGTAGACTTTCGTGGTAGTATTGCTAGAGTTTTACTGGCTTAGAACATAGGCTTTTTGAGTCTTGTGAATTGCAGGGCTTGGTCAAAATAAATTAGACTAGCAACCTGTATAGAAGAGGAGGCTTCAGGTGAAATGCCATTCATGTGATGTTTGTTAATAGTTTTAAAAAATTTGTCTTTAATTTTGTCTTTATGAGTCATGTTTTTAGTATAAGTGAGGCAGGATTTCTTCATTTTAAACACGTGAATTGCATATAGTCTCATTCATTTCTCATCTCTGGGAGAAGAAAAGAAATCTGGAGGAGCTGTAGGTAAAGGTGTTATTGAGTTTGAAAAGAAGTTGCCTGGTGGTGTAGAACTAAACCTACATTATAGTCATGAATCTTACAATATGCTCAGCACTTTCTAGTTTTGCTACTTTTATGTGGTATCATAGTTCATTTGAAAATGTGAAATTATCACTTTATTTCACCAAGAGGACACCAAGTAGTAGGAAAGATGTGAAGGTAACTGGAATACCCATAAAATCTGTTGCAGTGTGTAGTATGTATCAAGCATCAGAAATGGATCACAATTTACCTATTTCTTGTTTTCTTTATTATGATGTACAACTATTAGTGTATTGTCAGTAGCAGTGTTTGCTTCAGTTTGTAAACTTGGATTCAACAATTGGCTCTGGCTTTGCAGGCTTAATTAGGTAATCCACCTGCTCCCAAGTGATGGAGAATTATAGTAATCAGGGCTACAGTTGTGTATTGTTCAGTGGTTCACACCTATGACCCAGTATTTCTACTGCTCGGTGTTACAGCTGCAGTGAAAACTGCAAGCCATAGGTCAAGTAACTGATAGTGTGTATTGCTTAACTTTTCAGACACGCACACGCAGCCCACCTCCCGTGTTTGGTAATTGTCAAAACTGAAACACCTACCTGGTGTTCTTCAATAGTTTCATCAGTGCAGGACAGAATAGGGAAGGGACTTCCAATCTGAGTTAGCCCTTCATTCAGTACAGTTGGAGTACTACTTACCATTTATAATTACTTTGTCCTCGGAAATTTTTAGTAGCTCGTGGTCTGTCTTATCTGTCTTCTTAGAACTGTTCCATGGATGAAATCAAAAGGCTTTGCTTGGAGCAGTTGGAGCTGTTATCTGAAAAAAAACTGTTGAAGATACTTGAAGGTATGAATGAAATTTTCAGGCACCACTGTACGCCAGAGAACAGTCTGCCCCTAAATTGGATTTTCACTCTGCTTCTAGCTACTTTTATAGATATATATATATATATGCACACTAATAAGTATATATTAGTGTATATATATGTGTATGTAAGTATACATATGTATTAGTATTACATATATATGCATGCTAATAGCATATATATAGTGTGTGTATATATATATATGCTGTTTTTGATCTTTTAAGTTAGGATGAAATTGTTGATTTAGAAGCTATACATTCAGAAAACATTAGTATAAGCTTCTTTTACTTAGTACCCCAACTAAGAACAAAGTGTTTGACTTGGTGGAAAAAAGGAAGCTAGAAGTGTAGAAATATTGTTTAAAATCCATTATTTTAGGTAAATGGACAGTAAGTTGCCTCCTGGTTCTCTGCAGGGGAAATCTGACATACTGCAATACCAGTTCAACTGTATTAGTGATTGCACTAGGGTATTTGATATAGTTAAAGGATTCTTGGTCTATTCCTCTCTTCTGCTGAGACACGCAGTTCATGTACTTTCATTAAGGATATGACTTTCCAGCTTTTCAGTATCTTACTGAACTGCCACTTGATATTTAAGGGCTGTAGAATTAATTTGTAAACATATTGCTGTCTTCTCAGTTAAGTGGAACTCTTTGAATCTTGAATGATGCAGAGTACCTTCTGTTAATTCTGTCTCCTGTGCTTTTTTTTTTTTTGTGCCTGTAGTATTGTACTAGCAATAGCTCTTCTGTTTGTTTTTTATTTTTGTAATACAGCGTAACTGAAAAATGCCAGCCATGTGGTTAGCAGAAAACCCACAAATAAGGTTTTTAGTTTTGAGTAAGTCTAATTTTAGAACATCTGCTTTAACTGGGAAAAAAACCCCTCTTCTGCTGATTGCAATAGAGTTAATCATTAAGATTAAGCCTAAATATATAGTATTAATTATATACCTGTCTAAATTTTCGTGTTTGAAACTGTGTATATCTAGGCAAGGTTGGAGCTGATTCTGATACTGACGAGGAGGCAGATGGAGGAGACAAGACTGGAGGTGAATCAGTCAGTCAGTGAGTAAAAGACAAAACACTTAAAAACTTAATTTAAGAATACTGAACAGTACAGGGATTTTTCATGAGAAATGATCAAAAGTAAGGTTGAAAGACCCAATCACTGTCCTTAATTATGTGATTACTTTGGTTGAATGACAATGATCTGTGACTGCTAGCAAGCACTAAACTTACGGCTTTGTCACTCTATAACATTAAATGTGTCTTGAGCGCCTAACTGACTTTCATACTGATGGTACCACCCATAAGCTGAGTTGTGGTAATTGAACATGTGTGTGCTCCTAGCCTGCAGCAGGAGTGAACTAATATGATTTAGGTTAATCTTCTTTGAGTGAGCTAAAGGAGGTCGAGTAACCCCTTCCCACTTAAGTCAGTGAACTGTGTTAAGTGTATTTTCACTTCAGCGGAGTTGTATCCCTTCTCTTTCACCCTTCTTTCTGGTCCTTCATTCCTGCCGCAGCTGAAGCAATACTGACACCTGTTCCTATGTTCTCTGTTAGGGGTGTTGTAGAATGTCTAGATTTTTCAAGAGCAGAGGCTTCTGTTTTCTTATTCTTAGGTTGCCATCTGTCAGTTTTGTAAAGACCAACACTTTTTAACCTGTTCTTAAAATACTTGTCTTTTTATTTTTTATAGACAAGTCTTGTGTGGTATATTACTAAGTCTATTGAACAGGTGAGGTCTTTCTTACAGTTTCTATGGAAGTAAAGTTATTCTTTCTATGGAAGTACTAGTTATCACCCACAATGGATCAAATTTTATGAATCTCGCTTGTAGAAGACATGATAAAAAGCTTTTCTGTTTTCATTGCTGACCTGATTACAGCTGGTCCACAGATTCATTGTACAAACTTAATAAACCTCTGAGGCAATCCAAGACAATACATCGGTATTGGGCATATTCAGGTACCTCTTAGTTGCTGGTTTGGTTACTTCATTGAAACTTACTGAATAGGAACAAATGGATGGGAAAGGTAGTGATAGTAATCCAAGTTTCACATTCTGGTCAGTATTTTTGATTTTACAGAGACCTGGTTTCTGATCCTGTCTTTAATTAGAACAAGTTAAGCAGTTATTGAAGTAACTTTCTTTGATCACATCTTGTCATAAATCATACAAATATACTAGAAAATGGAGTGATACCAAGTTAAGTGGTATTTCAGTTTTCTCATGTGACGCAGTTTTAATACACTCTGATGCTGTTCCTTCTTGGGTTCCATTTGTAACTGATTTGTGATTATATCCCCACCTTTGCTGTTTCTTGCTTACATGTTCTGTGAACGATGTCAGTACACCCATCTACGTGCACTAATTTTCTTATTGTGGATGTTGCCCTCTGCTGGCCATTTAGAAAAGCAAAATAAAAAAATCAAAAATGACTAAATACACTAAATAACAGGTCTCTGTGTAAAGGAATCTTTGTTAAGTGATTGATGTTTTGCCAGTGAACTTCTGAATAGAATGAGATGACAAAACTTGTTGGCTAAGGAAATGATGAAAAATGACCCAGGATTTTCATGTCTCGAGAAATTACATGATTTTGGAAGGCCTAATTCACAAGCTCTTTACTATTGCAAAATACATGAAATATTCTTCATCCTAAAGAAGTATGGTAGGATCAGTGCTGCTAGATTTCAGAAAGGTGTTTAAAAGCTGCTGTTGAGACATGTATTTATGACCCTCAGCTTCAGTGGATTGAGTAAAGTCTTGCTTATATGCAAATAAAGTAATGATTTGAGCTGGTAAAAACATGAAAAGGGGAAATTGTTACTGTCAATTAATGAATAAAACAACAAAATAAGGAAAGCAAGCAGGATTTACCTTTTTTAAACTAGCAGGTATCTGAAGACACTTAACAACCCATTTGCCCATGGCAAGTAGGAAAGTTTCAGGAAAACAACATCTATAGGACTTAAACTGCAGTTTAGAAGCCTGCTGTTTTTACAATGTACAGATGATATTCCAGGCATAAGCAGTGAGTAAACCAAAGTTGTTGTCTACCTTTTGTTATAGCTGTGGTGAAGTACAGCAGAATTTAAACTGACCAAGTTCTTAAACCATTGCTGCCTTTACCAAAAACTGACAAAGCTAGGTTACCTTACATCACTGATGAGAAAGATGTGAGCAGTAAATAACAGCAAAATCAAGAAGAAATTGTGTTTTAAAAAAGTAAAAGAAACCAAGAGATGTTGATCAAAGTTATAGAGCAGATTGCTTCCTTTGATGGCCAGAATGGTTGAGGTGCCTCTGTTTTTTGTATATCTGTCTCCATACTGATAGTTCAATATTTTGGACCTCTCCAAACCGGCCAGGAAAGGTATTTTGGTGTAGGATTTGTGGCTTTTTTTCGCCTTTTGATGAAGTGGGTTAAAAACCAGTATGATACGCGCAAGGGTACTATCTCAGAACCTTGGCTCAAAGGTTTGGCTGTGTGCTAGCTTGAACAAGAAACAGAAAGGGAAAGCTGTTTGGATGACAGAGAAATAAAGGGATAGGAAGAATTAGGTGAAACAAGGAAAATGAAGATTTTATATTAATCATTAAGTCCAGTGCTCAGTAAGTAGAACAATATTATGCTTTTGCAACTGTAAAATGTCACAAGCCCTTTTTGCTAAATAGATGTAATCTCTGGGCATTTAGGTTAACTTTTTTTGCAACCTGTGTATAAATAAATACAAGTGCAAGTTTGCAAAACGTTAGAAAACTGTTTCAGCCAGCGCAGCAACAAGTCAGTGGGCAGGGAGGCTAAAGATGCAACAGTGAAGAAATAGTCAAAACTGCATTGCTGAGCTAAATTTTGGTTGTTTGTAATCATTAATATGTTTTTAGTTATCACCTGAGTTCAAATGGATGAATTTGTTTGCCCAGGGAAGAGAAAAGACTTCTCTGAGTGAAAATAGACAGTTTCTTTGATATTCTCACTGTTGGTTCTTCATAATTTGTCTTTGTTACTTGTGGCTTTCTTGTAAATGACTACTTTTTTCTGCATTCTATTAATAATGCAACACTAAAGCTTTTTTATTTTAAATGTGACTTGCCTTAGTTGTTTTCATAGACATGTAAACGTAGGAAAGGAAAATGTGAATAGCAAATCTTAATCTAGTCAAAAATTTGTTAACTGATTGGAAACATAAGTTTGGTTTTTTATCCTTGTTCATTAAAAAAAATAAATTCAACAAGCAAAAAGTATAGTTTGTACTATGTCTTTTTTTCCCCCAAATATGGAAATACTTACCTGTGTCTAAAGACCTGCTTCTCGTCTGTATGTCTAAAAGTAGCAGGGATTTAGCAAAATTTTTCCAGGTACAGGGTTGATTGCAAAATTCAGATCTTTATCTGAAACTTTTGGATAGTATTGCATCTGTAGTTGTAAATGGAACCTTCCTTTTTCTGATGCACTTACGAAGTTCTCATTCACCAGAACCAGAAGTCCTGGGTTTTTTCCTAAATTTCAGCTCTGTAAAAGCTTTGGTTGCTTTCATTAGCATGTGAAACACTTGGTCTGTTATTTTGTCACCAGCTTCTTCTCAGTTAAACCCTAGAAATCCTGGAATAAGCATGCAGAAGAACTGAAAAAGCAAGGCCTATGATTGCCAATAGCAGGAAATTGGTGTTAAAATAGATAGGCTCCATTACTTGTGAGTTCTCTATAGGTTTTTAACTATGCAGTTGTCAGGTGTTTGTTATTGTTTCTTTGTTACTATCTGTGATACAACACTGTTAAACCAAGAGAATTGCTGTATACCAAGCTTCCAACTAAATGACAGACATTTAATTGAAAGGACTTAGACACTTAATGTCCTGCAAAACAAAGTAGACATTTTTTCCATCTCATTCAAAAGGTATTAGCAGGTCCTTGAGCTATTTCTTTCCTGTTTCCTGAATTGGCATTTTAAATACCGTCCAACAGAAGGACTGAAAGTGAATTATGGGCTCTGGTAATAAAACATGGGCTAAAAGAACAAGCGTGCTAAGATCATTATGGTGATCATATGTTCATGTGTATAATGTGAGTAAATTATCTTTTGCTTTAAAAAATCCAATGTACTTATTTTTCTCACTATGTGAAAATTTGCAGATTTGTTCTTTAAGATTCATAGACTTTTTACTGCCTTGCAGTAGTAAGTGCAGTTTTTGCTTGTTTGGTTTTAGAGAGGTTAGCAATTTAAAAGCTGACATTTTTTTAACATGTTTTGCCCCTGGGTACTGGGCTGTTCACAAACATGCAATTTCCATCTGATATTTACACCTTTAGGACAATTTGGTTATCTTCACCATTTGGAATCACTGAAAGAATAGGCTACATGAGTCACTGAACAGATACATTAGCCCTCAGCATCTGTTCACTGTCTTCTGTTCTCCTGGTGTCCTCAAACGTCACCTGTAATTGGACTAATGGACCTTTCATAGCACACTAAACTATTTGATTAGTATCTGTCATTTGGGGTACCTTTTCTGAGGAACACTACTTCATATGGATTTTTTCTTTTTAAATTGCTTCCTCCTAATTATATCAGTTTTCATTTGTCATGGAAAACTATCCTTGGAACAAAAATTTTCAGGAAGCTTATGAGGATTTGGGACTTCTAGAAATATTTTTTTAGACTTGGAATGGCAAAGACAAATTTTAATTTAGTGTTGTGGTTTGGGCTGGACCAGACACTGAATGGGACAGATGCTGTCTTTGACCTCTCTCTGTTCAGAGAAGGGACAGCATCTCCCTTCAGAGGAGACGAGAGAGAATGAGAATGGGTTGAAAAAGAAACTAAACTACTTTAGTGCAATACTAATAATAAAATAATGAAAAGATCATAATAAATTTAATATGAAAATAATGAAATATATACAAAACCATATCAAACTCCCAGGATGACGTCACCGGTAGGCACTGGGAAAGTCCTCTTGCCATCCTCAGTGGAGGATGGCAGCTGGATTCCGGATCTGGATTCAGGAATGCACGGATTGGGATCAAAGGCAAATGAACAGAGTCCTCCTTGGACA